AATTTAACCGAAATTTTCAAATTAAAAAAAAATTTCATAAAATTTTAATTTTCAAGAGAAAAATTGACTTCATTTGTCAAAATTTCGTTAAATTTTAAAGTACATATTAATTATAACCGATTCTTTATCAAATTTTATAAAACATGACGAGAAGAAGATCGATTAATCAAATTATGGGTTCGGAAAAAATAGCAAACTGACTATCTTCTAGAAGGTTTAGCAAAAAAAGAACCAAAGTCCCTTGTTATTGTGACAAATGTAATGGAAAACTGGTTTTAACTCGAACTAAAATGCTTCACGAAGTGGCTTAAAACACAACTGACTCTAATCTTAATAGTGGTTTGGCTTCATTGTTACTAATTAATCAAGAAGAGGATTCGACAATAACTTCGTTAGAAGAAAATCCGATAAATGAAGATATTTTGATATCTCCATTAAATGAAGAAATTTCGGTAATAACTCCTTTTGAAGAAGATTCGACAACAATTCCATTAAATGAAAAAGATAATTCGACAACTCCAGAATACAACGAAAACGAATATATTTTTTTACCTCGAAGCCGTACAAGAAGCTACGCAAATCGCCTACAAATTATGCTCGAACATTCAAAAACAGAAGATTTGAGCAATTCTGATTATGAACAACATACTGATACTTCTTCTTCTGATGGCAATGAGTCAGATGATGGAACTTTTGCCGATACTTTTGAAAATTATTCACCGCCAGATTTTAAGTCATATCAAGAGGAAGAAAAAACGACAATAGATGATAAATTTTCATGGATTTTATTGTGGATAATAATGACCTTTCGAAAAAAGTTCAATCTCCCTGAAACAGCGACCGAATCTCAACTAAAATTCATGAAAATAGTGTTAAAAGAAATCGGTGGAGATATTTACGATAGCTTTCCTGACTCTCTATATCTGGCAAGAATTCAACTTGGCCTGAAAGATCGTTTCCATAGTTTCGTGCTATGTCCGAAATGTCATAAATTATATAATAAGACAGACATGGACGAAATTCAAAAAAATGACAGTATCAGTATCATAAGATGCAGTCACGTCGAATTTCCAAATTCTGCGTCTCGAAGGACGAAATCGTGTCAAACGGTCTTGGCTGAGAGAGAGGTTAAAAAGCCAGAATTAATATATCCATTTGTACCGATTCATCAACAATTGGAAGCTCTATATCGTCGGCCTCACTTTGAACGGTTACTTCGACATTGGTCAAATCGTCGACAATTCGATAACATACTGACCGATATATATGACGGTCAAATCTGGAAAACATTTAGAGAAACTGACGATGAAAATTCAGCCAAATTTTTCCGACCAGAAGTAGCCGATTCACATTTAGGACTAATGATAAACCTTGATTGGTTCCAGCCCTACGATGGTACATTTTATAGTATCGGGGTAATTTACGCGGCTATCTGTAATTTACCCCGTGACATTCGGTTCAAGCGCGAAAATTTGCTGGTTCTCGGTCTACTACCAGGACTGAATGAAGTAAGCTTGCACAAGATTAATCATTATATTGTGTCTATTGTCAATGAATTAGAGTTACTATGGAGTGGAATAACTTTAAATCGAACATTTAAGTGCCAAAACGGGAAAAATATTCGTGCAGCTTTAGTACTAATTTCGTGCGATATCCCTGCTGCTCAGAAAATATGCGGGCATATTTCAGCTTTGGTTTCTTGCCATCGGTGTATGAAACGAGCAAATTATGAAGACCACCAACATAATTTTGCAGGTATGGAGGATATGGANAAGATGATTCTGATCTATTAAAAATAACAGGTCGAATTTTAGATGTACTGTAAGTTTTTCAATAATAACTTCATTATATAAATAGTAATTGTATGATAACATTTTCCGATATTTATTTTACCTAGTGGCGAAATATGGAGTAGTCCAATTTATGCGACAAGTACTTCCCGTAATAAACAGAGCGAAGGAACTTATATTACCGATGTTATAGTCCCTTTACTTCGTGCAAGCCTGGTGAACCTATCAAATGGTTATATCTGTACAAGCATGTAAGTAGTCACGTGATTACTATTTTAACCATGGCTCAGATACTTAGTGTGTATTTTTATCAAATTTCAGTGCAGAACGTCAGAGTATTGCAAGCAATATTCGAAAAAATAAAGGGATCGATTGAGAATGAATTTGTAAAAAACCCGATATTATGGGAATAATGAAGCAAGACACAAATGATATCGAGTTGATTTATGTTGAAAGCTCTCGCATTACATGTAGCGAAAAAAAAAAAGATGATTATGATGTAAAATTGTGGAGAGAAATGATAGACGGGACAAGTGCTATAAACGCATTATGTAGACCGGCCGGTCATGAATTTGGAGTTGTTGGTATTCAAATTGCTGGTTTAGATATGCGATTAAATGTTTTGGTAAAGGATCTAGGTGGTATACCGCGATATTTCCATCTTGATCATGCTGAAATCCCAATATCGCTACATTTAACAAACACTAAATCCCTTATACGTGTTTTATTAAACCTAAGGAACGTTATGATTGTAAATAAAAGTTTAATAACGCAGGCGTTATTAGAAAACCCACCTCGTAATACTAGTCAAAGTACTACTGTCAGTACACCAGATAATTCCATGTATTATAATAGTAATTTCATGTATTATAATAGTAATAATAACTAGTATTAAACCTTAATTAATAAATGAAAATCACATTACATACAATGCTGGTATATATGAAATGAGTAAAAAAGTCTCAATAAACTTCCTTTTAGGTTTTTTTTTCGTTTTATTTCTTTTAGAATAAAATACACTAAGCCATCGTGTCCTGATGTCGAATGTTTGATTGACGTCGAATCAACGCTCGTCCGATGTCATCTCGATTCGCATAATGTTTGTGTGACGTCAAATAGACACCTGTTCGATGTCATTTCGATGTTTACTTAATGTACACAAGGCGGGAAAAATAAACATTTTTCGACATTAACTTAATATTGAAACAATGTAAGTGCGATGTT